CAAGGAGTACGCACGCTGCACCCTCCTAAGTCGACAGTGGGAGTGTTGTTGCTGTGGAAGCACAGAGAGAAGAAGTTACACTGCCACGAGCACAACAACTGCGACCCCATCACCTTGAAGAAGATCACCACCACACCGATCGACCAGCTCTCTTTCGTCTACGTCTTCTACTATGTCTTCCCGGACTTCGAGCCGGATCGCGAGGTCAAGATCCTTCCTCCTGAGGGCTACGAAGACGCATCAATGGCGGAACAGAGTGAAGTTGATGGAAGTATGATCACGGGGGACCTCTCCCCAGCGAGGTCAGACGCAACGATGACTCCCGCTACGACAACCACAAGTCCTGAAGCAGCTGGAGAAGGCGAGCACAAGAGAAAAGGTCCAGACACGCGGACCGTGACACTGGCACCAGAGAGCAAGCGCAGCCGCATCGAGGAGCTCTTCTTCCGGATGAACTCGAGCCAAGTGCACACCAAGACCCAGCACAACCTAGTGAACCTGTACTGGGTGATGCACTGGACACAGGCGGTTCCCTTGGAGTACCCGTCCATATGGCAAGCCTTTGAGAACTCAGCTTACCTCTCTCAATGGGACGTGTACCTCAGCAGACTGCCGAATCTAGCTCTCTGTGAAAAGCCGACGGTGTCGCATGACCATCTGTTCGTGTGGCCAGGCAAAGTTGACTGCGAGCTATACGCGGACATCCAGTCTGGGCAAGTCTTCAAGGTCGATGAGACAATGGACAACATCGATGAAGAGGAGTGCTACAAGATCTGGGATCAGGTCGAAGAGGCAGACGCTTCTGAGGTCAAGCAGTTCGTGGACACTCAGTCTTTTGAGCCTCGGCACAGAACCTTCCTGCCGGACGACATCGTGATCGTCGACTCTGTCTGGGTTCGAAAATGGAAGCGCATGCCCAACGGAAGCAGGAAAGTGAAATCGCGACTGTGCGCGAGGGGCTGCTTTGACCGACAAAAGGACATGCTGAGCACCCGCAGCACCACAGCGACCAGGCTGTCTCAGAGGATGCTGGTTTCATCAGCGTCAGTCCACGACCTGGACATCGAGTCATGGGACATCAGTGGCGCCTTCTTGAAAGGACTTTCGTTCGAGAAAATAAGAGAGCTACTTCGAGCTCGTGGCATCCGAACGCCAATCCGCAAGGTTGCCATAATTGCCCCAGCGAACGTATGGCGACACTTGGCCTCCTTCGATAAGAAATTCCGCATTGACTTCACCAAGGTGCATGAGTACGTTCTCCTGTGCATCAAGCCGATCTACGGGCTTTCAGACGCACCATTGGCTTGGCAACTGTGCCTTCACTCGCACTTCGAGACGCAGAAGGGCACGCCATCGCTCATGGATGAGAACTACTTCTACTGGCGGAACGAGAAGGACGAGTACGACTCTGGGGTGACTACCCATGTCGATGACTGTGGCGCGGCCGGAAAACGGAAATGGCTGGACGAGCAGTACAACCTCCTCGTGCAAAAGTTCGGCAAGATGACGCGCCAAAAGCTTCCGTTTACCCACTGCGGCGTGCTGTACAGCAGGACAACCACTGGCTACTTGATGTCACAAGATGACTTCTGCGAGAAGCTCAAGCTGGCTCCAATTCCAGCTCACAAGAAAGATGATGATCCTCTCTCGGCAGAGGAAGTTACGAGCTTCCGAAGCATCTTGGGAGGCTTGCTGTGGCTGACGGCGACAAGGTTGGACCTCATCTCGGACGTGTGCCTGCTACAGTCTCAAGTGACAAAGGCCAAAGTGGTTCACCTGAAGCAAGCGAACAATGTGGTGAAACGAGCAAAAGCTGAGCAAGGACAGCAACTCGGATTGCATTTCCGCAAACTCCGACCACCGCTTCGCTTATGCTGCGTTCACGACTCCTCTGCAGCTGGCAATGTGAGGAACTATGCCCAGGAAGGCATTCTGGTTCTACTATGCGAGGACAAGCTTCGCCGGATATGCAGAGATGAGGAGTCCGTCATCGAGGACGACGACACGCAGCGACTAGGCGGAACCGCCCACATTCTTTGGGCTCACGGTGCAAAGGCCAAGAGGATCAGCTATTCGACGTCCCATGCTGAGACTCTGGCGGCCATCTCTGGCTTGGAAGCCAGCACGCTGGTTTCTGTTCGACTGGCAGAGATAATGTTTCTGCCCGGGAAGCCCAGCCTACAACAGCTTCTTGCGGCACAAGAACAAGGTGTCCCCAACCTGCCTATCGACAGCATGACTGACTGTCGAGACTTCTTCGAGTTGGCAAGTGGCGACAAGTCGGTGCCACAGGACAAGAATGTTGATTGTACGTGCTGGCATTTCGTGAAGCCAGGATGATGGGCCGACTGCGGTGGATGATACTATGCCCGACGGAATCCATGACGGCCGACGCTTTGACGAAGTCCATGGTGGCGCCCCCTATGATGAAGCTCTTAAGTACGGGCGAAGTCGAGTTTTTCAACGAGGGCGCCCACAAACTCACGATGCGTTCGCTACCAAAGCTGCCGATGGTGGATGAACAACACTTCGACATGACTGACAAAGAACTGATCAGGGAAGTGTCTACTTTGGCGGCATCAGCAATGCTGGCGACTACCTCTACGAGGTCTATGTGGGTCACGGCGATGTTCTTCATGATGGCCACTTCAGCGTCGGCAACTAATACGAGCACTACCACAACAGAACCGTCGACATGGAGCGCTTGGGAGGACTGGAAATGGTTCTTCACTATGATCGCGATCATCGTCGCGACGGAGCGGATACTATGTCAATCCGCAAGACTATGGTGGAGACACGTCACCGGGACTACAACGACTTCTACCTCCTCCAGGCCTGAGACCTCTACTACAAGCATGGACGTGGATGACGACGAGAACGAGAACGGCAACATGGACGTGGACGAGGCCAACATCGGCGACATCGGTGACACACCTCTGACGCAAGAGATGATACAAATTGCTGAGCTGGTTCATGAAGTGGAACACTACAAGGGACTCAGCAACGAGAGGTGGACACAACTGCAGCGTTCTCGTGAGCTATGTGACAACCGATTTCGCACGATAGAGCAGCTCACAAGACAGCTCCAGAATGAGCGAGCGAGACACGCCGCTCCCAATGAAGTGTTCGTGACACCCGCGGGCAGAGTTTTCCATAGCAGCCGTGATTGTGGTCACATTCGCAATAACGGTAACATACGGTCCCTCAGACCATGCCGCGACTGCTGTGGATGATTGCCGAAGTCAGGAACGATGAGCGGAGTGAAGTTATGTACAGCAAGCTAACTCCTGCTTGTGACTCCATATGCACTGATATCTCGCAGCGCTTGAGCCCGAGTGAAAGGCCCGATTTCTTAGTCAAGTAGTATACTCAAGGACGATTGTCTACAAACGGTTGTTGAACCAATAGAAGCACAACCCTACACAAGATCTGGGCCGTGCTGCATCATCCTGAGACGGTACGCTGTATACTGCACAGCATAGCAAGGTATAACCATGCTTTCCACCGGCGGAACTCTGAATGAGATGAAAGCTTGCAGCGCAGAGTCAACTTGTAGCAGCTTGTGTAAGCAATTTGTTGTAGTCTAGAACAGCCCGCAATAATCCTTACCCGAGCAGCACTTGTCAAAAAAATGATGGTGCGTAGCGGTATCCAGTCTGGTTTCACAGCAATATAGGAACAAGAGAAATCTAAGGTGGCCTAGATCATCCTGCATGGAAAGTGCTGCATTTAGCCATGTAGGTTGGTAGATTTATTGGGACAGTCCGAACTCAATTCCCGACATTATGGAGCAGATAGGCCAAGGGACAAGAAGAAGTAATTGAGATTCCTAACAGGTTTCCTCCCCGGAAATATTCATAATGAGTTGGACATCCCAATTTGCCCCCGTTCGACTCCTTCCCTTCCCGGGGAACACGAACAATAACGAAAGAAAACTAATATAATATAGTGTACATATATCTACATTTATATACATATACATATACATACACATATATATATATGTATACATGAAGTCTCAGAATTGGACACAACGTTATTACCCGCTGTGTCAACGTTTCTTCTTCTCATTCGTCCTCTTAGTATTTCTATCAGTATTGTTAGTCTTTCCTGCCCTCCCTCCCGGCTACTGCCCCTCTCGGGAGATAATGACAACGTTGATGATAGTTCGGGCGGAATTGGAAACCAGTATCAACTTGTAATCTTGGTATCTACCCCCTTTGCGTCCGGACCACGCGCCGTCAATTCCCTCCCGCTGGCGCCAGTGAAACGTTGCCGTTCATTTTGCTTGAACTGCAATGGTACCATCCATACAGAACATTAATAAACGATGCTCGAACGTGCCCAATCCCCATCCCCACAAACAATTGAAGCACATAATCGCCCTCCACCCTCAGCAATTACAAGGGTTCGCTAATCGAGTTCTCGTGCGGATATTGATGGTCTTGGCCCTCAACCCGTGCAAGCATAGTAGTAGTGACGGTTCACACGCGCCAGCCAGTACACCCCGCCCCTGCCTCCCCCGGCTCCTTGATACAACCGCAACAGAATTTTGAGGTGCCGCTTCGTGGTCCATCACAGCACACAAATCCACTCTCCTCCCCCCGGCACCCTCCGCCACTTGCAGCAAAAAGGTAGTTTCATTCCCGTCTCCTCTGGTTTTGAGATAGTGACGGTCTTCTCTCCTCATTGTCCTTACCACCACAAACGCAGGAACAGTGATGCCCCCCTTCTCGGGAGGGCATTTGGTTACTAGCAGAGGGGTCCCAGCAGGCCACTGAGGCATTTGCTGCTGTTATGATTCGCTTCTCACTTTACTTGTCGACCTGCGCTTGAGACTTGAGATATCTAATTGCACTGTTAGACATGTAAGGTGCACTACCTTGCATTGAAGCTGGCTAACATTGCACAGGCACGCAGGGGAGAGAATGCAAGTTTATTTTACCAGGAAAGTCTTGGTGAGAGAACCCCCTCAACAGGTGTACACCCAACACGCCTACATGCGACCTTATGGTGTAAGCACCATGCTGTCCCTCGGCCGCAGCGTTGAGTCACTTTTGCGGCATACTTTTCATGACCCCGGTTGCATCTCAAAGCTGAATGGCCTGTTTGGAAGAACGGGGGTTTGTTTGTAGCAGAGGACTCGGGGTAAGATGACCAGGGATGCAAAGGGCTTGAGCATCATCGAACGAATGCATGTGCTTCAACCGAGGTTTTCCATGGATGACGAGAAGGGCCCCTCGCTGTACCAGGCATGACATCACGCCATAGACAGCGGGCCCAGCAAGATTTCTGCAAAAGGCCGTACAGTGATGCGGCTTGTTTCTGGTCTTGGGCATGTCATAGAGAAAGCTTCGGACGTTCGTCAGATTTGCTTTACGGCAGGCAGACTGTCCCCAGTCGAGACGCTTTTGACATTGCACACTGCCACGCCCGAACCTCGTCAAAGCTGCTGGCAGGTTGATCCTGCTGGTCAATACTTTGGGTACAAAGCCGCGGCAGCTGGTACGAAGGACCAGGAGGCCCTAATGAGCGAAAGAAGTCTTGCTTGTCCTCTTCCGTGCTCGCAGCTGGTTCGCAAGGCGCAGAACGCTTTGGAGAAGATAGTCAAGAAGAAAATCCAGTTCACGGAAGCGGAGACCATCCAGCAGGTTGCGGCTTATTTTCGCAACGACTTCAGCTTCCAGGTTCGAGTTGACATCAAGCAAGTTTCCTGGTACACAGGCCATTGGATGCCTCCAGGCAGTTATGGGCATGGATTTCAAGGCATTGAATGGCCTGGCATGACAGCGTGCAATGGCAGCGTTGGCCCTTCCATGCTTCCACTCTCACAGGCCTCTGACATCGAAGTCGGCGTGGTGTCTAAGCCCATGCCCGGGATGTATGCTGCCCCTGTGCCCAGCCCCTGTTCCTGTCAGTGAACTTAAAACAAGCCCAGGTCCCGGAAAGGTTTCTTCCGGCTATCGGAGGCCGAAATTGACGGACACCTCACTGTGCCTCGACAGCTTTAAGACACCGCCACATATTTTTCGTACCAGACTCGGCCTGTCCGCACTCTCGCCATGGGGCCGTGCCACCGAAACTGCAGTCCCCGGCTGTACAATTCGATGATAATGCTTCAGATCCGAAAATTTGTGGACGTCTCTTGCTCGCTCGGTTGGCAATTTCTGAGCCGTCTTCCGAAGCCCCAAGCCTTCACCAAAGCCGTCTTCTCTGACACATGTGCATCAGCCCTGCCCTTCAATTGTCTTGAATAAGCACCAGTATCTTGTTGGAGAGATCCTTGTCGGTATGCTTCCGCAGAGTTCCACAGCTTGTCGGCCTTCCAATTGCCAATCGAACATCATAAGGCGATTGTGGAGAAAGACACCTGAGAGAAGCCAGCTGTGAGCTTCTGCACGCATCAATTGCATCCTGTGAGGCATCGACACAGCTAAGCAGGTGGGGTCTTAAAGTAGGCATGCGTAGACAGATTTGATGCCCGCTGGAAGGTGGGATCCGTGCCTCAGTTCAATGGCCCATCATGTCGTCATGTTACCTAGCACAGGCACGCAGCGATAGAACGCGGCGGCGAAAACTGCTTTGGGCAACTTTTTCGACGATGTGTTGACGCTGCGGTTGCATTTGCCTCTGACCCCGCAGCCGATCAGGCCGTGCGGAATTAAACAGCCATGCACCTTCCCAGGTTGTGCAATGGCCGTTGCCCAGTCACAGCAAGCTGCCTTGATGAAGTTGCGAGCAAGGCGCAGAGATGGCAGGCTTCGCCAAGAGGTGAGAATCCTCAAAGGCATCACAAAAGAGATCGCAGCCTGCTCGCATTTGTCTGACAAGCTGCTGGATGAGCCACGCAACTGTCTGTTGTGGCACGGGGTTCCAGCACTTCTGCATTACTATTGGTCGGACAGCGCGTGTTCCACTGATTGAAAGCTGCATTAGCCATTGCAGGAGGCATTTGTCATGCTGCGCCTTTAAACAATGTCGTGATGCTCCAACCGATGCCCAAGAACCGCCACTTCTGCAGAACCAGCATTGTCGCGTCCATGGTCATTCTTGCTTCCAGGCATCCTCCGGAAAAGCAGGACGATGGTGGGCGGTGGGCAAAATTCTTGAAGACTTGCCTCGCCTCCGCATTCAACCCAATGGCATCACACTCAATGCAGCCAGCTGCTTAAACACTACTTTCTGGCAGTATGGCTCGCTGACACAACTTTGTTCGCGTGGACCTGTTTGGGCAGTGTGTTCAAGAATTGCAGGCCTTGTCTGCACTGGGAAATTGTCACAGATGGCAACTGGCACTCCGGCTTCTGGGGGGCGCGAGTCGTGAGCTCCGTGCTGAGGCCTGAATCCTGACAGTGTCCCAAGTTGTAATTACAAGACCTGTCTCCTTGTCAGGTCCAAAGCTACAGCATCTGCATCACAGCATGCACTCGCGCAGCCGCCCCCACGATGGGTCGAGAGCTTTTTGACGCTGCACGGCTGTAACCAGCTTTCCAAATCGAGAGCTACATCGATGAACCCTCCTGCATATTGCTGTCCCTGAGTCTTCATGGGCCACAACTGCATGGCGCAAGCTCATCATTCACTATGACACTATGACACTCTGTCACTGGCAAAGAGTGCTTAGTTGAAAACCGAAAAGGCTGAGCGGCTTGTTTTCCCAACTAGCAAAAGATCGCTGGCTGCGTGGCTGCGTGCGTCGGATGCTTCATCGACGACTGCAGATGTTTCTTCCTTGGGATACTGCTGCTGTATGTTTCCTCCTTGCAATACTGCCGCTGCTGATTATTATAGCACCGCGGATGAAATAGTGCGCAGCGTGGAGGGCAGTCTTCCCTTGTTGAGGTGTCAAAGTTTTCTTTCGCCTGAGGAACTTCAATCGACTGCTGGGTTGAAGGAGTAAAAAGAGCAGTGGGGAGACCTGACGGGAAAGGTTTCAGTGGCAGCAGAGAGTAAAGGAACGAGGCACGGGAAGGCAAAAGTGGGAGAAAGTGCTACTGGTAAGGCCGGCAACGTGCAAAGAAGACACCACCAGCATTGTAGAGACGACACGTTTGTCGGAAGCTGGGGCTTTGATCGATAGACTGCCGCTTCGTTGAGGACCATCATGACTTAGGGCCTTTTGGGCTGCAACATAATGGCGAAAGCAAGCTGCAGGCTGCATATGGCTGCGTTGCTACCTAGATCGTTCGTAAAAGAGGGGGCCCGCTTTGCTGCACAGGGTGCGCCGCAAGAAAAATCTGTGCCCTGCATATCGTTTGTCCAGCACGGCGGCCGCGTGCGTAGAAGGAGCGTGCACCTGCGAATATTTAATATGTACAACACCGCAACTGCATGAAAACACAGGATGCTGTTCCAACCTTCGAGCACATGATCCGAAAAAGCAAGGGTGGCTGCTTCAACTGATTTGATCCGTCGAATGGCATAATTTGGATCCTCTGCTCCGCTGCCATCTGCTCCTATCCTTTCATTGACCCAAACTAACGTGGGCAATGTTCTCTTTTGCGCAACAGTAGGGGCAGAGACGAGTTGATTCTTCGTTGATTCGTGGCGTCACTTACATAACTGTTAACTAACGGTCAATACTGGTTGAGGTTGAAAGACCGGCGCGCGATGAGACTTAGTATAAGAGTGAGCATGCAGCATGCGAACTAGAGTTTCGGGCCAGGGTTTTAAGTTTCGGGTTTGGGTTTTTTCTCCTGTACCGAAGGAACTGAAACTGCAACGACAGCTTCTGCCGGATCTCGTCGCATATGCTGCTGCAATCAGTGCTGAAGCTTCAGCTGGCCATTGGCAGCAGGCGATGGCTCTCTTCCAGGAGACATGCCTGAGTTCTATTTAGTGTCAATGAGTGTCATGCTCCTGTTCAGTGTGGCTGCCCAGTGGTGTCCGTTGGACAAATCCACCACGGGCACTTGGATCATCGCCGGACCCTTTCCCTCAGGGGATGTACTCGAGGATAGGGCTTATTTGCATTCTGTCGGTGACACCATTTGCGGCAGGTTTCGCAACACAAGCCCACACAGGGCCGCCGTTCTTTGCTGCCTCGTCCAAGCCCGTGAGAAGCCCACTACCCCACATGTCGTAATTGTAATCCTTGAATCCTTGACCCTTTCAATGCGTAAGTTACTATCGTGAAGTAGCATTGGCAGCCGTTTGTGCCATCCCTTTAGGAGATGACTTTGCAGAAGTTGGTGCCAAATGCCTGAATCTCAGTTGAAGCGACATGGATTTGTGCACATCGGAGATCTCTTGCTGACAGCACAAATGCTGTTTGACCGGCGGCTGTTGATGCTGTTGTTGGAAGGGACGGGCAAGCAGTCCTACAACAATACCGACAATACCCGATTCTCGACGTTGCACTCCCCCGTTGAACCCCGAAGAAGTCCCGCACATATCAGCCCAAATGGCAGCCAGATCGTGGCACACGCTGTCTTTCGAAAGTCAATTCTGGGTGATTGACCTTGTGATTCTGCGAGGTGGTGGTACACTCGGCAGTCATCACGGCAATGGAGAATGCCGCGCAGTGGAAGCTTGCGTTGGCCATGCTGGCGGAGATGTGCACCTCAGGCCTGGCCGTGAATTGCAGTTGACAGTGCTCGACCATCCTTGATCACCTGCTAAGCTGCTTGGAAACATTCTCGCATCTGACACTGCCGCTCTCAATGGAACTCAATGATACTCAATGGGCACTGGACCGTTAACACTGCAACAATCTCAACTTCAGAATGCTGGGCTTGACGGCAGCATGCTTGTTCGAGGGATGCTAGTTGCTGTTCTTCACACCAACAGCAAAAGTATCGCAGTCCCGCGACAAGGGTCACTAACTCATTAGACTCACGGACGTGTTGTAGATAGAGTAGCAAGCGCTTCCGGCTCTCGGGGTCTGGGCAACTAACCCCACTTTGCCTGCGAGGGCCCCAGCCAAACGTGGTGAGCTTCAGTGCCGCTATCAGTGCTTGTGAGAAAAGCCACGGGCGATGGGTGCCAGCCCTGAATTTGTCCATCCCTTACGACCTGCATGCAGCGCATCATTCGCATTCTGGCCTAGCTTCGGTAGTCCGGCACCGATCTGGTCATTCCTGAACGTGCCTGACCAGGCTTAGCACCATGCAGGCAGAGGGGGAATTGAGGAAGTTTTTAGGTTTTTGGGACACACTACTGCCTGGTTTCAGTTCACAACTGCATCGATACGATGCGCAGGAAGTCTTTGTGCAGCCGAACACCATCACACTGAACGGTCTCACTGCCGCCTTTGTGAAAGACGGTCAGTGGCGAAAGGCCTACCGGCTCGTCGCTGCAGTTCCAGGCGTGTGTCAGATGCCACAGCGAACTAAGCCCAGAGACTTTTAGAGATCTTCCCAGACCGTCTAAAACTGAGGGGCATCCTGCAGGTAGTGGAAAGCCCTGCAGGTTTGAAGTGCCGGACTAACAGCATCTCGCATTGCTCGGCGATTTTGGCCTGCGGGCAGGGCGATGAATGGACACGGGCTTTGTGGTCCTTCGCATCTCTAGGGCACCTGAGCTTGGGCCAAAGCCTCTTCTGCAACAACTCGGCAATCACTGCTTGTGGCAAGGCCTGTCTCCAGGTTTCAGATTTGGGATCGCTTGGGTCTTTTTATTCCCCTGTGTCCCTGCTATGCTTTTCGAACGCAGAAAATTTGCAGAGTCGCGTTTTCACCCAGAAGGATGTTCAAGGCACGCACTCACGCACCCACCAGCGGCTTTATGACACCTACGTAGGCCAGCAGATTTCCCAAGCGTCCAGCAGTGCCCGACGTGGCTGCGGCAGCGGGAGGGTAGGTTAGCGATTCAGCAGTGCAAGGACCCTGTCGTGGATTACACCTATCAGCATGCAAGTAGGGTGTGCAGCTGAGCGCTGCCGACTCGGACACACTCACGCAGCGGCGAGCCTCACTCCACTGCATAGGGCCAGGTTCGAACCCTCGTACGCTGGTCGCCCGAGTTGCACGGAGTCCATCTTGAACGTCAAACCAAAGATTGCTCCAATTGAACGGAAGCCTGCAGCCTCAGCTGTCAGCGGCGAGTCAGTGCCGCCATCGTCGTAGCAATGAGTCGGGTCTATTGAAAACTAGCAGCCTCTGCACATTGATGGATGTCGTCGGGCTAAAGCATCTCACTGATTTCTGCTGGTCCATTGTGTCGGCAATCCGAAAGTACACAAGATATACATGTGACGCCCACCAATCCCGCCATGCCACCAGTGAACTACAGCTAGTTGTGAGCAGCTCGCCGGTGGTCGGAATGTATAAAGCTGAACCGTTCAGCGCTCAGGGCAGGCATGGGCCGCTCCCGGGTTTTTCCGGAGAGGGACAGACGAGGACTAGAGCCCTCCTGCACGCCTACGATCGCATAGTCCTCCGTATTTGCCATCATGTGCAGGCTAAAGAAAGCGAAAGAAGAGTTCAACCGCAGCGAGCATGCAGGTGTGGCATCAAGCACTTCACCTTGCAAGCTCGCTCCAAGAGGGCATGGCCCCCGATGTCGCGGCTTGTATGCAGATCTAGTACGGAGTTTTCACACTGGGCATGGATCCGACATCGATGATGTGGATTCGTAGAAAAGTCGATGGCTGTGGGTGGCTCAGACAGCACCAAATTCCGAAAGAAGTCATGGTTCAAACCAGCGAGGCCCGGCTGTTCAAATCCAGGGCTTAGGCCACGTTTCGTGTCTTGCGGCTTGGCGCAGGCTTGGCCGTTTCACTGTATAGTAGGACCGTTGCAACGAGCGCAAAAAAACGAATGCTTTGGCTCTTTATGGGGTCCTGGTTTAGAGCAGCCGCCGCTCAGGTGACTTATGGTGCTCTGACGAATGCTTTGGCAGAGGGAACGCAATGGCAGCTGGCATTAGCAGTCTTGGCGGATGCGCGGCAAAAAACAAAGCCACGGCGTTGTTCGAGTTAACTTGTCTTTTCCAACCTTTCCCACAGCATTGCGTACCTCCAGGACATGCACGGCTTCCCAGACTCGGCATGTTTCTCCGCGGCTCTGACCGCATGCGAACATGCGGCTTGTTGGAGAGCAGGCTTGACCTTCTGCGCACAGCCATGCCATGCAGAGCAAGACTCATTTGCAGCATGTATTGCAGGTCTGCAGTTGCTGGAGGACGATGAGACCACCTGCCTAAATAGGCTTATCTGCAGAGAATAAGCCAAGTTGTCACATCTCTCACCATCCTATATACGATACCCAGTCATTTCTGTGCCTCGCTGGTGTGCGGAGAGGACATGGTAGTGGCTCGCGTTTTGGACGAGATCGCTTGCACTCTGGGAATCAGCATGTGTCACAAAGCCGGGGAATGGCGAAGTGCTCTTGCCGTGTTCGACGGGCTGATCAAGAAGCAGGCTTGCTTTGGCTTTCGTCCTTCCGTCGATTCAACAAATTACGCATTCCTTAGTTGTGGGCAAGGGGAAGCAAACTGGAAGCTTGGAAGCAGTTACCTTGGCACGGCTGAACATGGTCGTGTGCGAAGGTTTCGCCTGGGGAGGCGAATTTTGGAGCTGCATTGATGGCTTGCGCAGATGGTGGGGCCTGGGTGTGCGCGGTCGCGCTGCTTGACGCCATGATGCTGCTGGGCGAAATCTGCGATTGGCAGCCTTTTGTTTATGTTTCGTATGTCTTTGCATGCATGAAGAACTTGAACTGGTTTGAGCTGCTGCTTTGCCGAGGGAGCAAAAGCTCACACCAGATTGCTGGGCTGCAGGTTTCTTGGTGGTTGTTAATGCGGGACGGTATCTCGCATGCCCCAGGCCTCGACTTCTGCCGCTGGGTTGGTTCCGTGCGTTTTTCTTGAAGCCACGCCGCTTCCATCGCTTCTTGAGGATCAGCTGCCCACGCCGTTGGGCAACGACTGGGCCCTGAAGCTGCGTATGCTGCTTGGAAAACCAAACCTTGTCTCGCAGCTGCCATGTACCATGTACTTGCAGTTGCTTGCAGCATGGCCTGAAAGAGGAAATACTCGAGAAGTTCCGTGACCGCTGGCAAACCAAGCACTCCAGCCTTGACGCATGGCAGCTGGCAACTACAATCCAGGCAGGGCGGGCTCTGCACCAAACTAACTCATGAAGTCCGAGCGAAACGTGGAACCTACTTTGATTTGGTGTCCTGGAATGCCACGAGCAGATGATCCCCAACAGATCGTCTCAGACGATCCCCACCAACAAAGCCCACTTCCAGGAAGAGTTTCAGAGTGTCAGAACTTGCTTGAGACTGTGTTTCGTTATCTTTCAGTATGATGAACATATGCTCGCAGCCTTCTCCATGTCCCCCCAGGCGAAGGTGCTGAACCTGGCTTCAGGCGTCATTGCACTGGAGAAGCCAGCAGGCATTCGAACAGAAGACCTTGTGCAAGGCCAGCTTGATGCACGCTCGACTCGATGTTGTTTCCATCGGATAGCTTCCCGAGGTGCAGCATGCCTAGTTTCCCGGTTGGACCATCCTACGTCTGGCGTACTGCCCTTGCCCTTGGGCATCGAGGGCTCTCTTCCAGCTCAGTGGCTCCAAGCACAGTTCGCGGCAAGACTAGTACAAAAGGAGCGACAACACATCTTTCACTGGCTGTCATTGTCTTACGATGTCCCACGTACCTGCGACGTGTCGTTATGTTGTCCCCTTGTCCCTTCCTTTCTCTCATTCGCTCGTTGCTGAGGAGTACCTTTGCCTTTGCGAGGGCGGATCTTTGGGTGCTGTGGGCAGCACCGGGACTATTGACAGTCCGTTGCAGACAACTGAAGTGAGCCACTTCGGCCGTCACTTCAGCCGAACCGTGGCTTCATCTCAGGGACGAAGTGCCTGCACCAGGTTTGAGGCGGGATGCTTTGTGCTGCAATCTTCGTGGGAGCTGATGCTGCCTGCTTCCAACATGATGCATCAGGTTCGCGAGAGGTTCTTAGTTCGTCACGGCGTGGAAGTCATTTTGTTGCTGGCAAAGCCTCTCACTGGACGAACACATCAGATCAGAGTTCATTTGGCAAGTGCTCCGGCAGCGGTTCGGTGCTTCGTTGATTGACTTGAGTTGGTTCATTGCATGTGCAGAGGCGCGTCGCTGTCGGTCCTTGTCGCAGGTATTGGTCGTCCTCTGCTGGGTGATCTGAGCTACGGCTGCTTAGCCTGCTTTTGGCCTAAGCAAAAGCTGTTCCCCTTAGCTCGACTGAACTGATGGTCAGAAGTGAGGCTTGCGAGACGATTCTGTCTTCCCGGATTGTCCACGGCTTTTCTTGCACTGTCGACAGATCCAACTCCGAGATTTGTCTGGCAAGTCCTTCGTGGCCGAATGTCCTTTGCCAACGGATCTTCGAGACGTGCTACTCCTGTTCAGAGGAGGACTTCAGAAGACGGGTGCTGCACAAAAGCTTGTGCCGATGGTGTCGGCTTTGGGTTAATTGTAGAGTGACCGAAGCTTGACAGACACATCCTTGAACTACGTCGTCTCACGCCTTGGTGAGATGTGACCGTATCGGCATTAAACACGTCTTCAGCTCAACTTAGTCGTCTTCGTCAGCGGAGCTTTGCTGCTTGGTTCGGTTCTCCTGGGCGTGAACAGCAGGTCCAGGGTTTGCATGGCGCGGAGAGCATAGAAGGCAAACCTAGCACACGCCAAAGGCCAAGACTCAACAGCTGTGAACTGTACCCCCATTACCATCTCAGGACATGTCTTCTAAGTAAATGCCCATGAGCCTGCAATGGCTACGTGGGCTTGCTGTGCTGGCATTGCTTGCTTGTCTCACGAAGCCGGTGGATGCACTTCTGGGATGCGAGTCTAGGCTTGGGTCTTACATGGTTCAGGTATCTCTGGGGCCGTAAGCTGAGATTTGACGATTTGACGTGCCGCCGGCGAAGATGTTCGCATTTTTCTTCTGTCAAAGGACTTACATGCGTAGGCAGAGCTGGATGCCATGGACGAGCAACATGACGAATCAAGCTTACTTTGCTCTTGGCCGGCTCTTAGAGAGGAGGGCTACCATGCAAACTTTCGAAGTAGAAACGTTTGGCGGGCTGTGTGGTTGAGATCTAGTGCTTCACGTGACATGTCTTCGTGCTCCACAGGGTTCGGTCTTTCATACCCTGTTCAGCTTTCGGGCAGGAAGCATTCGTGTGTCGGCTTCCAGCCGTTTAGCAGTAGGACACGTTTTTGGCTGTTTTGAGGCTTTCAGGTTTCAGGAGGTTTAATTGTGTGTGCTTTTACGGTTCAAGTTGTTATTGGTTTGCAGGCTTCAATGACGGGCCAGTAAGCCAGAGAACCATGAAAGGTTTTGGAAGTCGGATTCGGACAGAGGTGGCATAGGTGAATGAGTGCTTTTGGCAGGTTGCGAGCGTGGAGCCCTAAACTGATCACGGCCTGCTCCAGTCGAGCCGTACTCGGATCCGAGTATCAAAGCACACGAAACGAGTCGGCATTGTCTTCTCTCCCTGCACGTTGGATCAATATCGCTGGTGCTAAGATGCTGATCAGTATAGTGTTACATCATTGGAGTCATAACGAATAATTCTGAACCACGGTAGTGAGCAAGTAGCGGTTTGGGTTGCCATAGTGGAGCTGCTCTTGACAGAGTTTCCTTTGTCTCGGTCTGAGAGCTTGCGGTCGGTGCCGTGATGTGGTGAGTGAATGCAAGAAGCTCGGAAGAGACCGGTTGATGTCTTGCTGCTCGGCAATTTTCGGTTCGTGTGTTGCGGATGCTTGACACGTTCACCTGATAACTTCCGGCTCGGCTGGCATGGATAGCTGCCAGATGGCCGGCGGTGCTTTAGAGTTTTAGAGACTCGTCTCAACATGGGCTGCCGAAGGCTGGGTTGCCTGAGGGTCATTTGGAATGCCGCACTGCAGACTTGATTCTCAGGTCTTCTATGGCTGCACTGGTCCTGTTCGAAGCGAATCTCCAACGGTTGAGCCTTGCATTTCAGGTACTTGATCGTCGGCTAGACTTGCCGGCCCTGTTTGCACCACTTGCTACGAGCTGACGGAAAGCAGCTGCACTCGCACCACAGAGCTCGGCTGACTGCGGCCTTGGCAGAACTTTCTTGAGTGCATTCGCCAATCGCACGACTTTCATTTCACGATTTGCAAAAGCATGTCGCCGCCGTGGGAGCTCGGAGGCCTCTGTGAGTTGTGCTCCGTCGCTGCGAACATTCTGTCGCACGAAGGCTTGCTCAAACAGGGGACCAGGACCAGAATCCTTTGCAGGTCCATATTATGGCTTGTTACCCTGCGGCCCCTGCGCCTGTGCCACTCCCAGCTTCCCAAGCTGCCGGAGCCGCTCCACCATCGGAACACACCGTGGACTGAAGAACTTCCCATCTCGAAAGGTTTGTCGAATTTCCGCATAGCTCTTAAAACACCTACGGAGCCGCGATGGCGACGGAAGCCTGCCTGAGGCAATCAAGCAGAGCACTTGTATCACATGCTGTTGAGCGACTGCTCGGAGCAGGGCCCGGGCGGCACCAAGGAGGCCTGTGCCACCTTCGGGGTCAAACTCGAAGGCGACTGTCTCCAGTCAGACATGGAAAGTCCAAACCAGTGCAGCACCATAAATGACAGCACCGTAACCCGCATGCAATCCAGCAGTAATCCTGCAATGCTCAACGAAACAGTGATGCAGTGTTTTCTTGCTCTTGCTACCATTAATTTCAATGCGGCTTGGCAGATCGAATTCCAAATTCTGGGCCAGTGACTTCATCCGAGTCTTGAAGGAAGATAAAGAAGGGTCAGCACTCTCGCGAAGATGCTCATGCCTGTGACGAGGAACTCCATGCAGTACATAGATCTGCCACAAGCGAAAATGATGTCAGCCGTGCGTCCCGTCATTGACTCCCCAAGCATCAGCTGACTGAGCAGTTCAGCACACAGCCTTCATGAAAATTCAGGTCGCAAAAAGCACGAGCAGTCTACAATTCACACACGACCGCATTGTGTGAGAACCAAGAGACGGTGGAGTGGCCTCTCAGCCACCAGCATGTCGGCTGAACATCTCTATTCACGCGCGGCGCAGTTAGCATGTGCCCAATGGGGAGCGTTGCCTGCAGAGCAGGAATGAGTCTGCCTTCTGCCGTTAGGCTTTTTAGGCACACCAGCATGGATCCTCATTGTGCAGTCGTGCATGTGCAGAACTTCTGTATTGTCGCCTGGTGAAGCAAGGGATTCAGATCTTGCTTCACAAGTCCCAACAGCTGCCGGCTCAGACACGTCTTCGTTGCCTGGGCTGCATGCAGCAGCGGAGCACATTCATCTTCTGCAGTGTGAGTGCAGGGGATCTTTAAGCTGCTTCGGGATAGCAGAGCCAAGGCAAAGCTACTGGGTAGGACCGGAAGCACGCAGGTCTTCGCCTACGTTTGCGAAAGATGTCGTGAGAAAGCTGCGATTCCTCGCACGTGGTAGGAAAGCTAAACCGCTCTGAAACTCGGCAGCAGCGGCCCCGGCTCGGTGGGCCGAGGCAGCGCCAGTCCCGCGAGGGTTTGAAGGGTTTCACCCCCCGCGAGGGTTTAAGTGAATTGAAGGGTTTCACCCCCCGCGAGGGTTTAAGTGAATTGAAGGGTTTCACCCCCCGCGAGGGTTTAAGTGAATTGAAGGGTTTCACCCCCCGCGAGGGTTTAAGTGAATTGAAGGGTTTCACCACCCGCGAGGGTTTAAGTGAATTGAAGGGTTTCACCCCCCGCGAGGGTTTAAGTCAAGTGAAGGGTTTCACCCCCCGCGAGGGTTTAAGTGAATTGAAGGGTTTCACCCCCCGCGAGGGTTTAAGTGAATTGAAGGGTTTCACCCCCCGCGAGGGTTTAAGTGAAGCGAAGGGTTTCACCCCCCGCGAGGGTTTAAGTGAATTGAA